CTCTCGCTCTCGCTCTCGCTCTCGCTCTCGCTCTCGCTCTCGCTCTCTCTCTCTCTCTCTCTCCTGACAAGCTTACTTGCTCATGAATCTGAATGGAGATGTTTCGCTTTCATAGAAGGGCATCCGCGTATCTTCCCACGGTTGTCGCATCCGGTTTTCGCTCATTCTGGGCGGATGTTTCACATCTTCGACTCCGCACCCTGCGGTGTCAGGACTTCTATGACCGCAAAGTTCTCGACTCAGTGACTCAAGGGGGGGCGTTGAATGGCTGGAATTAGTGACCGAAGTGTCTCAGTGAATTTGGGTGTCTTGGAATTAGGAAGCCCTGAGCTACTAAGGATGAGCTACTAGGAATGATGGACAGCCAACCGATCTGGAGACCTTTTGGACATTTTGGGTGAAGATCTTCTGCCCCACGCCGTCAGGCCTATGGCCCCTATCTAGCCTGCATCGGGGTGGCATCGACCGACTCCGAAGGCAGAGAAAAGCACCCTTGGAGCATCGTTGGAGCATCAGTTGGCTGGGAGCCAGGATTGGTGCATATGTTCCACTACCCAGAACTAAAAGGGTAAAAAGAACTCACCACTGTGGGGAGCTAGTTCTCCCAGAGGGCATTTGACAGTAACCGGCAGCCTTGGGAGGCCAAGTGACGTTTACCTGTACACAAAATATGGCTGGCATTGCTGGTCAAGTCGCAGCCTTCGATTTCTCAAGAGAAGGCACTGGCGGATTGTGAGGTCTTGGTCGGATAGGTGGCATGGCTGGGTGTTGCAGCATACAGTCTGGCTGGAGGATTCTCCTGGCTTTCTCCAAAGAATATCAGAAAGTACACTGAACACGTGGGAGGTGTGAGTCTGGGAGTCTGGGAGTCTAGGAGTTGCTTGGCCCAATTTTTTCACACCAGCGATACGCCCTTTTTGATCCTTTTTGTGCTTCTTCTGCGGCATGAGGGATGAGGAAAACATCGAGGTTGAGTCATAATTAGACCCTTCAGGTCACGACCCGGGTCACTGTACATGCTTCACTGTACACCGAGGTTACTAATGGTTTTTGGATGTTCTTGCTCTATTTTCCTTCTTCCAAGGGGCCTCAAATAGCAGTTCTTCCATGTTCTCCCAATTTGAATCCACATCCAGACAACCCAAATTCCGTCTGGACCCGCCCTGGACGACTCCCGCGCCGCAGCACCTCCACGACTGTCCTCGAGCCTCATTGTGCACACCGGCACTTTTATGGCCGAAGCCCTAAGGGACCTATGTTGCTGACGTGTGGTCCATCTAGAATCTAGGAAGGAAAGATCCAAGCATCATCCAAATTCTCTTTTGTGCTGGCCTGTCCTGCAAAGTTGTTGAGACTGAGGTGCAGGTGAACATGCACTCCAACGCGCAGGTTGAGGCAATCTCTTGGATTGTTTGGAGTCTAACTCTACACCAGTTGATGTAGAGTTTCTGAACGTGTGCGTTTGAGAAAAAAACATGTTCGGAACGAAGAAGGACGTGCTGCGCAATTTGGGGGAGAACGGTTTCTCACTCATAAACCTTGGGCACTTGTATTCGACTGGTGAGGCAGGCTTCAGCATGGGCACGATGACCTTCATCATCGTCATCATGGCCCAAGGGCCCCAGCGGAAGGTGTGTGACAGCCCCCCATAACAGAATCCCACAGGTTCTCCCAAAACAGAACAGAAGCAATGCCTTCTTTGGATGTGGGGGCGATTGGAGGAAGCTGAGGGCAGCCACCGGTGTTCCGCAGCCACCGGTGTTCCGGAGCCCTGAGGTCTTCTGCGGCTTAGCCCTCTCCAGTGTGGTCACGGACCTTGCGGCCTGCACCTGAAGCAATTCTTACGGTCAGAAGACAGGTCAGATGACAGGAAAAGATAGGAACAGTGTTCTATCAAAAGCCGCCAATCCCCCCCTCCCTCTTCAACCAGAAGGGCCTCCAACCTAACAGAGTGAGACCAACTCAACTCCATCCTCGTCTCACGCGGCGCGCACGTCACTCTCACCTAAAGCCGTTTTGACCCGCCCGGCCCAGGTGCGTCCGCTGGAGCGGATGCTGGGCACGGTGCGGAAGATCGCCTCGACGGTCTTCAAGTTCACCGCCGAGGCGAACCGAGACACGGACCACGGGGAACCTCGGGTAGGGTAAGGGGGAGTCGGAGTGTGTGGGAGGGTAAGGGAGTCGGGGGTTAAGGGATGGGAGGTCCGAGAGGTGACACCTCCCAGGTGTTTTGAGATGGTGTGAGGGGGATTCTGGTGTGTTTTTTTTTGGACTGGCCCCTGTGGAGCTTGAAGCTATTTTTTAGGGTTTGTTGTATTTGTTGAAGTTGGAATTATGAATCTCAATGACAAATCGTATCAATAATTAGACTTTATTTTCAGGTTGAAGCCACAAATCAGTGTATAATAGTCAGGTAAGTCATGGTAAGTCCAGACTTGGGGATACTGCGTGGTGTTTCTTGGAGTTAACGTGCCAGCCTTGATGTCCTCTCCATGAGACGGCTAGAACTCCGATACTTGGTACATTTGGTACTGTCCTCCCTCAATCTGGTTTCGAAGAACAAAAGAGCCACTCGCCTCCCTCCGAGTGGAGCCTTTCTTAAATGGTTTGAACACCACGCGACCAGCCGCGGTGAGCTGCAGCTGGCGCTTCTTTCAGATGTGCTGCAACAGGCCGTCGGTTCCGACCTTTCAGGTCTCAGCGGAGCAAAACGAGGAAGAGGCCGGCAGCGAGAACCGTGGTCAGTTCATGCCAGTTCCGAAAGCACCGGGTGTGTCCCCGGCAGGGCGGTCCGGTGCCTCTCAGGGAGACTTCCTAGTAGTAAGGCCAAGAGCCCCTAGTGGCCAGGAGCCCCTTTCGTAGCGTCCTTGCTCCTAGTGTTGTTTATTTTATGTTTTTTTCTTTTTTGGGCGACAGGTGCGAGAGATCGATTGGGATTCAATCTGGGCCAGACATGCCATGACAGAAAGGATCATGCGGTGGATGTCCTGATTAGACTTAGGATTAGGAGTCAGTCGTTGAATCCCCGGGTGAGTGTGAGAATTTAGATCGCGCAGCATGACCCAGCAACATCCGCTCGTCCATCTGGTGTTGGTTGACCTACTCCATGACCGTCAATGGACTCACACCCAGTCAGAGTACCTCACCAACCCGCCGATTCGGAGGTCACGGACATTGATAGCTCAAATGAGATGAAACTGCTGGAGAAGGCATGGACAACGGGCACGTACCACATTCATATTGGTAAAAGGGTGCACTGCAGATGTGGTTCGTTTGTCTTCTTGACCAGTGGATGGATAGGTGGATACTGTGAATCCTGGTCCTCCTTCGGAATCATCCGTGGACGTAAACAATGTTCGCAATGCCAAAGACACGCACGGGTCAGCCCCTCTCTTTTTGGTCGCCCGAGCAAGACGGGGTTGAAACGACTGGAACAGCAAAGTTGGAGAACCTTTCTCCGAAAGCTAAAACGACTGGAAGATCATATCTACCAAGAGATCGGATCAACAGGAAGATCCCGTCCTCGTTTCATGTCAGATACGATTGGATCCAATCCGGGCTCGATGAACACCTGCCGGAGGGTCGTGATCAAGACCCCCTGGAAGCGAAGTTCTAAGTGAGTTTACCACCTGTTTCTATTTGGACAAGTGAGTTAACCTTTTCCGGGCGGACAGATTCACTTCCCAACATTTCGGACCAACGAAAGGACTGGGCTCTTTACGCCGAAAAGTGGGTTCGTTTAGGAGGAGGGTAGAGACTCCTCTCGGCTTCAAGGGTAGAGAGAGACTCATCTCACCCATGTGGTTTACTTCGCTTAGCAGATGTCCACATAGCCTGAGAAAGGCTCCATCTTGTTGGATCGCTGTCCTATCAGCATACGCTGGACGATCCTTCCGTTCACCAACACTCCCTCCCTTTGTTATCTTAAATAATTGAAGACCGTTTAGTCGATCTTGGTCCAAAATCCATCGCTCACTGTAAGTGGGTGGGGTGATGTCCATCGCTGGTTTACGTGAATTCTACACTGTTTTCCTTTCTCAGTTGATAAGTCGACCTCCCCTCCCCGATATACTATTTGGACTTGACTTCAATGTCATGAAAGACATCAGGTGTTGCCCAGGGTCAAAGATGCCATCATACGCCAGCATAAGGTCATGCAGCATAAGAGTCATGAGGTCATGGGTCAACCTGCCAGTAGTGTTTTGTCCTTCGATCTCCCCTTGCAGAATGGATCTTCACCCACTTTGTCTACTAGGCTTGATCTGAACGAATCGCTTGGCCAGCTTGACCCGTGCACCGCCGCAGGTGGTGCAGAAGTTAGCGATCATCGCTGACCTTCAGACAGCACGAGCAGTGCCCGATGAAACTGAGGAGCACAAGCCCGGACGAGTGAGCCAAACGCGTGCGACTGGCTCGCATGGCTCTGCCAAGAACCTGGGCCACGGGGAATTGAATGATCTGATAAGACTCATGATAAGACACGCGTTGGATCTTTGATGAACAATGCATGGTCCTGTGTTCTTTTGCGCGTCTGGGTGGAAATCATTGGAAATGGTTTGCTGATGTGATCTGGCAGGACATGAGAGACGAAGATCTTGGAATCCTCAGCATGATGCACGGAGCCAATATCACCAAGAGCAAGGCGAGATGGCCCTGATGACCTTTGGTTGATGGCCATGACGTAGACAGCGGCCTGCCGCGACAGCCGCCGTGGGGCCATGGCCGTCTCTGATTCCATGCTGGGATTGACCGGACCAACAACTCTGAAAAACACTGGGAATTCCCAGATTATGGTACCTACACGTACCTACCCAAATGTACAGAACCGGTTTAACATATCTTTTTGAGAGACCTCACTTCGAGCATTCTGAATTCGGAACACCGCAATGCTATACCATATTATATATTACTGTACTTGAGAGGGGATCTATATATATTATATATAGACTCAGTATACTCAAATCTGGGGGTCACTCCGGCACCGAACGCGAAGCCCAGCGTGTTCCGAAACGCCACGACAGGGCCGGCAGACCCGGAGACCCTCCGGCACGGTGCAGCGGAAGAAGGTCGGGGGTCCGGAAGAAGGTGTTTTGTCCAATATATATATATATATATCTATTTCATAGGTGGAAGTACTCACCCAACTATACATATATGGTAGGTGTATGTAGGCGTAGTTTTTTTCCTTTTTGCAGATCCGTATGCTGTGTATCATATACTTGCGTGTGGACTTGGTTCCCAACATTTGTGGAAGTCCAACCATTGGGCTCTCGAGGGTTGTCTGATGTTTGAGGAATGTGGTCCAGTGACATTCTTGCTTCGAAGATGGCTACAGAAGTTGATCAGGTGATAGATAGGGCCACATCTGGTTCGCATTTGTTCACTGTGTATTACATTGTGTTACATCCTTTTCACAAAAGCCACGTCTGCCCGTCAGTTGATTGGAGTTTTTACCACGGCTCGTTTTTTCATTGGTGCTTCCTCTGTAGCTTTCCTGGGACCTGCTGGTGGCGGCCATGAGTGATTGCTCCGGTGACGGATTTTGTGGGACATCATCCAACTCCCAAGCCGTGGAGGAGGCTCATCAAGACATATCAAGACTTTTTCACAAGACAGTTGTGGTCGGTAGAAGCCATTGTCAACCTTCCATTCTAACAAAATAGGGTAGAATGAACACATGAAACACTCACCAAACCTCCAGTTTCCTTCAAGTCACATATGATCCAGCATGCGTCTTGCGGAACCGAACCCATTTGCACACATTTGCACCCCTCCCCCCCCACCTCCCACCCTGATCTGACCCCCGTCTCCACGAACCCCCGGACCCTAAACCCTCAACGCCTCCTCCCGGAACGGCGATCTCCGACCGGGAACGGCCATCTCAGGGCCATCTCGGCGTGCCGGCCGTGCGGCTCGAAGACTTCGGAGTGTCTCAGGAGGCGCTGGACGGCGGGACGGCGGGAGTGTCTGGCATGGGTTCAGTTCGGGGGTTCGGCGGGTCTTCGGTTAGTCACTGGTCTTGGTCAGGTAAGACCGTGTTTTTCCATGCCGAGACTGATACCATGATTTGATTTTGTCCCAATGAGCCTCTCTTGTCTAGGTTCTCGCACTTCTCTCAGGATCACTTTGCATATTTTATTTTCCTTGTTTATTGTTACCATGGATTAAAATCGTTGTTTCATGTTGTTTCAAAGATATGGTGTTTCTTGGGCTTCAGCTGGTTTCTTTGGCCGGATGAGGGGCTAAGCAAGGGTTTTGTGGCCCAAAAACCTCCATCTCCTGGCCGACTCAGATCTTCAACTCGTGGTCCTTCAATTCCTTGACGCTTTCGAAGTCGGGGAGCCACGGGAAAGCGAGCTTCGTGCGCAGCGCTCGGGGACCGCTCGGGGAGCCGACGTGGGCACCGCTTCGAGAGGCAGACAGAGTCCGGTCTGAGGTGCTTGGGGGCGGTGCAGCCAGATGCCCATTCGGGGAGAAAGCAGATGTGCCCACCAAGAAACGGAGACCTAGAAGGGTTTCAGAAGGCCTAGAAGACCTTGGAAGGCCTGGAAAACCTTGGTGGGATTTATTTTTTCACTTGAAAGTACACTAAGTCACTAAGTACATGCACATACACTTCAGCGGGTAGGGGGAGATCTTGCGGGACCAACCCGGGACATGTCCGAGCCAGCTTGCGAACGGCAAGGGTCGAGCCTTTTTGTGACACGTACAGGGTTGACCTCATCAAGGAGATGAGGAGGTGATGCTCCGCCCCAGTGTTGTGGTGTGTTGTTCTCTTCGATTTCTGACAGCCTTGGACTCCAAAAGGATTGCATCAAAAAGTCGATCTTGCAAAGTTTCATATTCCCGGTGACTTCCGATGATGGTGATCATGGCAATTTGATGCAAAGTGTTCCCACTCCAGCACCTCATCGTTCGCCCCGATCGCCTCCCCCCTAAGCGTTCCTCATGTGAGGAACCAGCGCATCAATTTGGCTGTCTACACAGTCTGCAAATTCCACGAGGAGACTGAAGGCTTTGTGAACACCGGAGATGAGGCGGGCGGGCAGGCTAAACCGGGTGGCGGGTGGTGGACGGTGATGGACGGTGTTCAGACTTGTTTTTTACTTTTTTGCGGAGAATGCGGGGTGTTGAATAGGCTGAGTTTGATTATGCAATACCTGGAACTGGAACTGTGTAAGTAGTAGTACGAGGAAGTTGGTCATTGCTTGCACTTGTATATCGATGGTCGAAAGAAGCGCCACAGCATTGGACCAACAGCATCTGGGGATTTCATCAAAATGAAAGACACATGGAACTTGAAGATAGAACCTTGGCAGGTGATGTTCCAACATGTTCCAAGTCCTTTGCGGCACTTGAGGTGTCCACCTTTTTCTTCTTCCGGAACCCGACGACTCCGCACCCGGCACCGGGACCGACGGAAGACGGAATCGACCTGCTGGGTTGCGTGACAGGTGGGGATGTTCCAACGCTTTACCACGGCTGTAGAGAAAGAGTACTTGCCGGCATCTCAGATGTGCGAAGACATGCGGCAATGGATATCAATGGATTCATGCGGTGTTAGTGTTTGTCACATCGTCGTGGAGCTTCCCAGCTGTTGCTGTAGCTAGTCTTCATGTTGTTTCCCATGCAAAGCACCGATTTCTGGGACATTCCAACCATTGGGCACGGGCTCTTCAGCTTGCCAGCCGTTTGTTCTCCAGAATGTTGGATTTGGATGATTTGGGGTGTTGAAGGCCCCCCCAATCATTGGGGCAATTGAACCAACAATCATTGAAACCAATGAATGAACTGAATGATTGACTTGGATATAGACCGCAATCAAACAAACAACATCAAACAACCTCTTGAGCATGATTGAAGCCTTGGCTAGGCGGGATTAGCATCCACCAAGCCACTGGTGTCCACAGGGAGTTCTAGGCTGGGATGAACCACCAAGGCCGGTGCCTTTCCACAGCTTTGCACACTCAGTGGACGTGCTGCATGCAGTGTGGCTCGGTTGGCAAGCTGAAAAGAAGTGGATGTTTGCCCTGCACTGTCCGAGCATGTCCGAGCACTGAGGAAAATCTTGGCATGTTTTGAGATCTTTTCAATCGCTTGGCAAGATCAAGCATCCGCAAACATAACACAAACTAGTACTGTAACTAGTATTCATACACACACTAGTACTTGCACTCCTGTTGGTCGCCGTGCATTGGACTCAATAAATTCTTAGTAATTACTACCAGTCCTGACAGTTCCTTCACAGCCCCACATACGTTTCCTAGGCAAGCGGCATACTTGCTGCTATACCGGGGATTTGTTGACCTTACCAATACCAAAGATTGTGCCGAGCTTTTGCCCCCGTGGCCAGCCGCTGCTTTTCCCTAGGTCCAGAGTGCTTCGATGCATCTCTTCCAGCTCAATCTTGAGTGAGCTCGAAGAGTGGCGGACTCATTCGAGCCATGTTATCCATCCATCCATTCCTAGAACTGGCCATCTCTACTGGCGCGAAAAACACGCGGTTCACCACGCAGTTCGCGCCGAGGTTCTCCTTACTTGTCGCAGCTCTCGGTCATGACATTGGCCATCCGGGCGTGAACAACGGCCGGGGGTCCCGATGCGTCGCGTCGACTCTCGATGCGTTGATGCGTCCCATGGAGGGAGAGTCTGTCGCATCGGCATCGGGTCTTTTGTTCAGATTCTGTTTTCCAGGAGAGTACATGTTTGCGAGAGAAACGCTGAGGGTCTCTCCAGGGCCGAGTTGGAAGGAACATGAGCTTCAGAAAACGAAGCCCAAGCTGGCAAAGGGCCACCCCAAGATGTCCGAAATCGGCCCGAAAGCAAGTCGGCGCTGCTTCAGACTTGCAGAGAAAGACCTCAGCTAATCTTGTTACTTGCCTCATCCTTGATCTCCCTCATGAGTCCTGCAACCTCCCTCGTGCTCTGACTGACCACAACCACAGCTTGCGGAAGGTTTGAGTGGAGGGAACCTTGGAGTTGCGTGGGCCGATACACAGCTTGGATCATCACCACGACATACACGATCCCAGCGGAGCCGATCCCAGCGGGGCCGATCATCAAAACATGTCCCAGGGCCCGTTACACTGACCCCAGACATCGGCAAGGAACACACACACACACAGAACAAAATCTGAAAACAGCACGTTCAACACTTCACTCAATTTGATCTCTCACAGCGGTGATATCCGATGCGGAGTCGGTTTGTGGAGTGTTGATGGTTTGACCTTCGGCCAGGCTTCCTGTCGGAGGTCGGCCACGAGTTGGCCATGCAGTACAACGACCGATCTCCATTGGAGAACATGTGGCGAGACCCAGAGCGGTCACCCGCGAGTGAGCCGCCGGTTTAACCTGGACGAGACTCCCCCAGGAATGAGTTGGGTTGGTGTTGGTATTCTTAGCAGGCCTAGCGATGGAGTTACTTCGCTGCATCAAAGTCGTGCAGTTGCCCCTCAGCAGCTTTGGTCTCATTTGTCCCCAACATACTCAAATCCATGAGACCTTAATTGGAAGCTCCTTCCACTCAAGAAGTGGGTTACTATGTGTTAGACCTTGTGTTAGACCTCGTGTTAGACCTCGGTCATAGATCTGTCTACCTCACAACAACCATAACCACCCGCGCAGAGTTGGCCCTTACCCGGACCATATGACGATCGTCTGATCTGAAAGGTATGTTTGCTTCTTGAAGGCGAACGGATGGACATGGCGCCCCCTCCGAGAGACAACTCTGTGCCTTCTCTAGCTGAGGCATTGTGCCAAACTCTACACAATTACCAATAAGCAGGAAACCAACGCCCGGAGCTCAGAAGATGCGAAGCCGGTGACATCCGCCAGCCGAAAAGGAGGGTGCTGAGAGACAATATTCTCCAAGATGGTTCTTTAATGTTTTTTCAAGATTTACAGGATAGGATAGGGAAGAGTGCTTCGGGCCTGCGTCATCCTCCTTGAATGCCGAGGTCTTCTACCACCTCTCCAAGGACCAGTATAAGGAGGTCCGAAAGATTTGCATTGAGAGCATCCTCCACACGGATATGATGGCTCATCAGGCAGGTCCTTAGGGGTTTTGAGTCAGAACGCGTCAAAACCAGTTCTTCTCCGTGCAGGAGAACCGTTTTTTTGTTCCAGTTTGAGTCCGGTGAAGGGGAGATTTTTATTGCTTCAAAGACTCAGATAAGAGTTCCAGCCCAGTACAGCTACCAGCTACGGCCGCGACGTCCAGATTTTTGGCCAGGCAATGGTGAAAGACTTGCAGATGCTCTTCCAGATGAATACAGAGGACTGGCGGATGGGGCTTTTTCTTTGACCGAGCGTTGCTTCTAGCTTAATTAGTGGCTAGGCAAGGATGGTGTGACCCCGGGTGTTTCTTCGGAAATAGAATTTCAAGTGCCAAGCTGGATTCATGGCATTTTCATATAGTCCGTCATTGGTCGTGGAAGGGAATTCCTTTCTCGTCCTTTCTCTTTTTCACACAAAACAGTTACTCGCATGGAGCTTTATCAGGAACCGTCTTGGAGACTTCTGTCAAGAACTGCAAGGGTTTGCACTTCCATGATGTGAGAGATGGAGCCAGCCAGGTTTAGTATCACAGTTTTTGTTCCTTGCAGCAACAAAACATGCCTCACATGGTCTGGGCGCACACGTGGCCGTGGCCAGGTATTCACCGCAGAGCCCGAGTGCAGGGTAACCCGGGCGACCCATGGGCCGATCCTGCGGGCGTCCAAATCAGACAGTCTGTCCTCAGGAGTTAGGACCCAGGGGAGCTGAAACATAGGCCAAACCCTGGTAAAAGGAACAGGAGTTACAGCAAGATCAACGATAAGAAACTGCAGTGAAGACCATAGAATGCGGAACTAGCATGGCGCAAAGACTTTGAAGTAGTTGTTCACACGAGTCAAAAAACCGGAGGTGCCAGCGATGAACAACAATGTCATCGGGACTTTCAATTGCAAATCGGTGCTCCAAGAGGGCAATCACATCACTGAAGATGAATTGGCAACAACAACGGGAACAGGACACCAAGACAACAATTAGCCAAAAGGCTCCTGGTGCGCTAAACATGGCTTGTACATATGTCATCAATGCACGTTATGGGCTACGAGCATCATAAGTTTGTCAGTAGTAGCACGTGGTAGTGTTCTAGGTAGTCGTAGTCATTGCAAGAATCTCTGCAGCAGAAAGGTAATTGCGCTGGCGCATACCATGCAAGAAATCATACCTGCTCCAAACATCTAAAGGAAGAAGGAGTCAATAGAAAACAATGAAGTTTGTGTGGATCAACCAATATATGACTTGCCAGTAGTTTTAGTGAGTCAAGTGGTGGTATGGAAGCCTGTATTCAAGAGTCCTGATGGCAGTATAGTCATAGTTGACCTATGTGCGGACAGTCGGACAGTCGACAGCTCTGTTTGTCTTTCAGGGATTTGAGCCCTTGACATTCGACTCACCAATGAGTTGTCTCAGCCCTATACTGCAAGCATATGACCTTGCACAGGCTTACATCAAAGACACACCTGAATATTCTGGCACAGGTCGTGTTTCCTTGCACCGCGGCCAGTGGCCACCCGAACCTTTGCCCTCAGGTGATGATAAGGGTCAACTGATCATCAGCCAACCGGAGGCAGAGCATGCAGGGCATGATGGGGCTGTCAAAGGGGAATGAATCAAACAAACATGTGAGGCACTCCTTCGGGAACTGAACATTTGTGAACATCCAGATGAATTTGCAGGGTAGAGCTCTTGACTCAGATCCAAGTAGGGTTTGTGCACGTTGAACTTCCCTGTGACTCATCCAGGACCTGAGTTCTTCTCATCGGCGGTTCCTCGTCCGCCGGTCGTCCGGCTCCTCCCTCGCAGCTCGACGGTCCGGTCGTCGTGCGTCGCAGGTGGAAATCTTCACTGAGCCCGACACCAAATCCAAAGCCGGGTCTCCAAGCAGATGGGGGATGATGATTTTTCAGTTGAGACAAGGGCAGATGAGACAAGCTCCCAGCTGAGACAAGAGCAGATGCTTTTTGAAGAAACGCGACTGGACATTGGATTTACCTACAGTAGGACCTAGGAAACCTTGTTTGTCTCTTTCCCGCGCCTCAGGTTTGGTACTGAACCCCAGTTTGTAGTTGTTTGGTTTGTGTCTCTTGACTCAAACTGTCTGAAGGCGGACAGATGCACAGAGTGGGTTTGTTGCAACATCAGGGACACCCGTTTGTCCGATTCCGAGGTGCTCAACTGTGTTCTGCACTCAGCAGATGTTTCCAACCCATGCAGAGCATGGGATGTGACACACGTGGCTGCCTCAGATCTGAAGGCACATTCTCTTCAGTGGGCCAATCATTATCAGTTTTCTCACCAAACGCTATATCTTAGCAAGTTGGAATCCATCTATCTCTATCATAGCTCCGCCTCCAATCGTTGTCTCCTGAAGGATTGGGCCATGGTCTGCCTGGAAGAGTTCTTCGCCCAGGGCGACCAGGAGAAGTTACTGGGCATTCCAGCCGGGAGCCCTGTCCGGGCAGTCTCCGCTCCTGTCCGGTGAGTGGGACGGAAAAAGCGGGGGTGGGAGGTCCGGGGGTGGGAAGATCTGATGCAGCAGCATCAGTGGTCGGGCTTTGGAAGGCCTGAAACTGAACCATTTTCTTGCTGTTTCTGCGAAAGATGCGGGTTTCAAGCCAGCACCAGAGGCGCAAAAGGTCCCAAAGAAGCCTAGTTCCAAAATGAAATGATTTTGCCTTGGTCAATTTTCTGATATCTTTTTCGTGTGTGTCTTCTTGACACTCAACTCAGTTGTTTGACTCTCCATCTGCTCCCTTCACAAACTCGCAGTTATAGAGAGAGAGAGGGAGGTGAGTTCTTCAGCCTGATTGGAAGACCAACTTTGGAGGTGCAGTTTCTGAATGATCGAGACAAGCTGAACAAGCCCAACTCGCAGATTGGCTTTATTGAGCCACTTGGACCCCCATTGAGCCGAGGTTTCGGTGGTTTCACGGAGAAACTGTATGCTCCTGCTTGCGCACAGAGTCCGATGGTGCCCAAGTTGGGTGGTGAACCAAAAGACTTTGATCCAGAATTGGAGAAGTCAACAGGTTGGAAACCAGGGATCCACACTTTGGACACCCGGTTCGTTTCTTCAATCCACGATCCTGAACTGATGAACTCGACAGTCATCCACATCGAAACATACTTCTTGAAGGCTTGGTTCGCGAGCGAGGGGACCCCGAAAAAGCCTTCGCCGCTCAGGCTTTTGGAGTGGCCAGGTTCCGTGGAGAACACCCATAACTTGTGAAGATGATCTTGAGAAGAATCTCTGACGTTCTGTCCTGAAGCAGTGGACCCCTTGGCACCCCCAGCTCCATCAGTCAGACCATGTGAGACACACCTCCGTCAGGTTCATGATTGCGCCTTTCTTCGTCGCACAAATCCGTTTGTGGCCCAATCTGCATGAGTCGGAGGGCCCAGACGTGCACCGTCGGACGTCGTCCGTGGGTGTCGTCGCAGCGTCGCACCGACGCGCCACGAACCGACCACAGAGGACGAGAAGCGACGAACGCTAAGGATGGGAGGAAATCTGTCGCGCAACATCGCGAACTGGCAGGACACGGCATGTAGCGGTGTAGGAGTAAGAGCCCCTATACTGCCGCGTAGCGGTAGATGGCATCATCACCCTTTGTAAGGCTTAGTCTTGTTGGTATTCATCCATAGGCAACTTGAAACGAATATTTAGACTTTAAACAGACATGTTTGGTACATCCATCTATGTGTGTATATACAATATGCTTGGTGGTTGGCCTGTCACACCTGTCGAGGACATGTGGGAGAAGGAAGTGAGTCCTGCGGAGGAAGAAAGAGCCAAAGTGAAGGCCGGCCCAGCGAGTTGCTGGTTGCGCAGCCAACAGCCAACCCAAGCCAGAGCCATAAACAGGTATCTCAAAGTAACGTAAAACGTGGTTCTCTTGGCAAGCACCGTAGCAAGCCGGAAAGTCTTTGCACAAACGATTCCAGCTAAAACTACTTCTAATCCAAACAGCCTTCGTCTGACCTCCGTTTGGGCCAGCGGAAAGCCAGCATTAGCTTGCCATTTCTCGGTGAATGACCGCATCTCAATGACCATGGGTCTGTGAAACCGGGAGCCCCTGGTTGAGACATGGTCAACCTGTGAAACGGTCCCCGCTTTTGACCCACAGCCACATGAAAGATGGGTTTCCAGGTTTCGGTTTGGAGGCTTCTTAGATCCTGCGACACGTTTCGACCACGTCCTGTTCCACGTCCCGTTCCACGTTTCGCAAGCCGCGTGTCGCCCTCAGGGCCGAGTCGAGAAGGTGCAAACGAACATCAACGAGGCCTGGGCGCCTGACGGACCCGGACGCAGACCCGGATGCTCCGTGGGGCCCATGTGCTCATACTTCGTCGCCCGTTGAAGGGCTCCGTGGCCGATCAAACGGGGGTGCGCCCGTTGGCCGATCGATCGGGGGTGCTTCAAAGTCTCTTTTTCGCAAGTCAAGTTTTGTCGCTTGTAATGAGCAAGTGCAAGCGATCTGAAAAAGGGACCGTCCTGAGACGACAGGCCATCCAGCGAACACCGATTTGAGAAGCTCTGAGAGTGGGATGGTCGGAGTTAATGGACAAAAAGGATACAAAAGGCCACTTGGTTTCCTTGAGAAAAGCTGGGTCCACTTACAGTAGATGCAGCCTGATGCAGCTCTGCTTCTTCCAGTCCATTTGGTCGGGACCGACCAAACCGACCAACCGGACTTGCGTGTAGTGTCTCACTCCTTTTCACTCTGTGCTTCGGAGCGCAGCGTCGTCTGGACGAGACGATCTGTGCCCCAGGATCACCAGCCAACACGCATTTGACGATCGCTGCCCCTGAGGGGCAACGCGAATGGTCTTACGAGACGGCCCTCACTTCTGCGTTTTCTCCACCTAGCTTGCTTCATCTTGGTCGAGATGTTACTGGCGGCAGTAAATCCTTAGGACCCGTTGTGATAACAATGAACCTGCAGAAACTCACACTTCTCACTGATTCTCACTCCAAGTCAATGTTTGTTTTAGGATCTTGACTGCAAAGAACATGCTTCCCAACGCAGAAGAAGATCGGCCTGCGAAGTACGTGGGCGACCTAAGGTCTGAAATCAGCCAGATAGTCTAATAGGCTGTTGGGCTGCTACCCTCGGGGAGGCTTCGAGAACTCGGTTCGAACACTTGACTTTCAGAATCAACGCCCGGTCGGGCCTCACTGATCTGTGATGGACGATGGACCCGAACACCCCGAAAAAGAACACTGCCTGATGACAGACCCACCGATCGAGCATGTGGATAGTGGTTCCGGTTGGCCATTCCAGAGCATTGCTGTTCCCGAAGGCTGCCCGGCCAATGTGCCAGTGCTCTTCCATATCTTGTTGGAGGTAAGGCAGCTAGTAGACAGATTGACCGCAAGCTAGTGGGATAGGATGTCAATGTTGCAGTGGAAGAGATTGTCTACATGGTGTAAGCTGAACACGACTGGCGGAGTGTGCTCTTTGCAGATCAGGGAGTTAAAAGCGGAAGCCGGCGGAGACTCTGAAGATAAGGATGAGAAGCTTTGGAGTGAGACATAGACACACTGGAGGAGCTCATCCACATGCTGTGCGGAATAGTACCATCAAAATAGGCCATGTGGAGATGTCAAGGGTCCACTCTATCCCAAGGGTCCACGAACTGCTTCATGTCCAGATGAAACACGACATGATGAATACATGATGATCCACGACAAACGCTCTGGATTGGAGAGTGTTGCCTGGATGGGCTCTGGACTTCAGTGATGCTAGTGTCCCTCGCTACAAAGTTTTTTCCCCCAAAGTCCATGGCCTGCCAACCCCTGTGCTTTCTCTCATTGATGCTAAGGCCTCTTTTTTGGGAAGAGGTTTTAGGTTTTAGGTCTCATTTTTCATTGCACCCTCAGCAAGGTGATTTGAAGTGAATCTAGTGTTGTCATTCTGGATTAGATTGTGAACATAGCAATGTCATGCAATGTCCAGATCACAACAAACACTGCCATACTCCCACAAAATCCCGACAGCAACCTTTTCTACTGTCTGCAGGATGATTCCAACCCACCAGAGGAAATGAGAGGTGGCAAGAGGCTTTGAATCGTTGCTCGGGGGTGGTCTGATTGTTTATGCAGGAAGAGGTTTTTTGATTTGGCTGAGACCCTCTCAACAAATAAGTTGTTGTCAAATCGATTTCGCACAGGGTAAGTCTATTTTGTACAGGACGAACTTGTACCATTGCGACCATGGACCCATGCGGTCCCTTGTGGGTGCAAACCAGGTCCACTCCTTTGGCCAAGGTCGACACCGCCCATCAGTCCCTGGTGCTTTATTTCCTGAGCCTCGGAGAGGACGGCCTCTGCGGTCCGAGACTTTGGTCTCCGCAACCGTGCCATGTCGTGTGACGAATAGAACTCGTGCCGTGGCGGAGCTACTAGACTCTTGATGAATAATTCACGCTCTCCAATATGAAGTGGGGGGTTCTGAATCAAGAGCCTACATTCCTGCACCGATTCAGTTCTTTGCGGCAAAACTGCAGGAGACGAAGCCATCTCGGCTGCGGCTCTCGCGTCTGAGCCCCTCTGCAGCACAGGTGGGTCGAACCCGGTCGCGTGCCACGCGGTCCGCAACGGGCAGAGACGGTGGGCGCCCCATCTGATTTGTGCCCAGGGCGAGAGATGGAAGAGCTGCGGAGATGCAGAACAAAGGTTTGAGCATTTTGCAGCTGGAGATTTTTCTGAAAATACATTTCAGCTACAATGAGGCCTTTTAGGATTGTGGTTGGTGTTGAAGCATGTTGAACCATCCAATTGGCAACTTTCTGGAGCCCTCTTGAACAAGACCCATATCAGTCAGACAGTCAGACTTGTCAAATTGCCAGATTCAGATATCGCACGGGGGCTCTCCAACGCTCGTTTTGAAGCCTGAGAAGGCAGACGTGGGTATCGCTCAACACTATTCCCAAACACGAAACATTCTACACCTCCTGTGAGACATGATAGCTTCTTTGTTTCCAATATCCTTTCACCAATCTTCCATCCACGTCCATCTCACCAGCGTCCAATTTGCTTTCTTCGTCTGCTCTTCACCCCGCAGATGCTACGACACATCCGGGACTTCCTGGGCGTGGTCTTTCAGATCCGAGAGGCCACCGAGCGGAGCCGAAGAGTCGCACCGTTGGACCGGCCGAAAGGAGGGGAGAGAGGGCGAGACGAAGGAGTTCGGTGATCGTTTTGGTTTCGTTTTGGTTGGTTTTGGGATGCCAGTGCGGAAGAGTGCGGGTGGTTGGGGTTTGGATCGAAAGCACTGGTTCGAGGGAAAGTCACAGATCACGAAAGCTTTGGAATTCCATCGACTAAATTGAACGAAGATCACCTAAAAGACTCCTGGGACGGAAGATTCATTTGATCGTTGAGAACATGGTGATCTTCGCCGCGCTGCTGATCACCGTGTCAGGACCATGGTGATTCCGGTAGCGTGGTGCTGTCTTGCATCGGTGGCCTCCTCAGATCCGTAGTAGAGGAGTCGGTGGTTCATGTGTTGTGCGCGAACACATTGGGTGATTCACAGTAGAGAGATGTACACAGCATGGCACATGTGTTTAAGGTGGTGGTTTCGGACATTTGGACTCTCAACCTATCCTTGGGATTCCTTCAAATGATTGAACCCACTGACTCCTACTTGGAAACAGTGAGTCGAAACCACCAACTACCAGGATCAACCAGGTGTGTATGGCTCCTAGATGGGCCTCAACTCGGCTGATCAAGCCCGGCTGTTCGCCCCTCACACCCTCCGCCGCCTTCAGAGTCTGTTTGAGGAGACTCGTTTGAGGTGCTGGAATCACCAACACCGCGCGGCGCACCTTCTAACGCTTGGGATGCCTAGCAGGGTCGGGTTCAGGAGCTCAGTGGAGCTCAGCGGAGCTCAGGGCTCGAGCACGTCCTGGGTGGGAAGGGGGGTTGTTGGAAAATGTTGGAAAGAATTCGGCCTCCGACTAGTGGCTAGTTCGAGGAAGAATATAGGGGACGACCATCTATTGGGGCGTCAGTTCATTCAGGCGGAGTGTTTGAACTTTTTCTATAGATTTGATTTAGAGTTGTTGATACTCTCATTGGGGTGATGAATGGCCAGGGCCACGCCAAGTCGACCAAGGTGTCGCGTGCAGGGCGACCTCAAAAGCACCTTGAGAAGCGAGAAAAGATCTGCGAACGTGAGAGCAGATCAGGGTAGCCGCGCAGCCTTCGAACTCTGAACCAAAGGAAAAGTTACATAAGTGACCCTTCCTCCAACAAACATGGAAGTGGATATAGCCCCCTCTTTCCACCATTTTCCACTTCCTTGTTGACTGTTGGAGTGTTGCCGGCTTAACCACCACCTCAGATGTTCTCGATATGTATATCCCGGCATTTACAGTCAGTGTCGGTATCGTGCAGGAACACCTCGGGGCTGTCCGTTTCGAGAAAGATCTCTTGGAAGAAACCCAGCAATGCTGAGGCTGAAAAAGGAGGGTTTTGCAGTTGCTTAAGGTCTGCTGAAAGTCTTCCTAACAAGGGGGTGTCTTTGCCGACCTCGCGGCATCGGCAAACGACAAAATCTCAGGATTTCACGTTGTTTTGGCTTCATGGATGCCTTCAAGATGCCTTCAGCCCTTCACCGACGGTGCTGCCCTTCAGCCCTTGGGGTTGAGTCGTGGAAACCGACCCTCTGTGTTCTCGGCCACCACATCAGGCGAGGATCTTCGATTTTTTCGCAGGGGCTTTGCGGCTTTCCAATTGCTTTCCATGTCGATGTTGGGGTGGTTGGGAGTGCACTCATCCTACGACGAAGCACTTGGGGCTTTCCATTGAATCGTGAACTGGCTCGAGCTGGTGAAGAAGCGAAGCTGGATCAAGATAAGCAATGGATAGACCATGGGAGGCCCAAGAAATTCCATTGCTGTTCATTTTTTTAGAGGTTCGATTGCCTTCAAGTTATGTAAGCGATGGTTGATTGCAAGCCTGATCTTTTTTCTTTCACACATCAAGAACTCTCAATGGACCATGGATGGCATAGCGTGCGATGCTGAGTGGCGCTCCTGCGTTGCTTTGATCATTGTCTTGCACCCTTCTTTGACTGGTTCATTATATCTTTGAGGACCTTGTTCATGTCAAGAGAGTGACGGGAATCAACGAGAGCTCCGACTCAGTCACAGCAGGACAACGTCTGGAACAGGCTCTGGTGCCAAATCAAGTGTAGCGCCTGCTCTCAGGCCTTCCTTCCTAACCCACGGATCACTGAGGCCATCCGTGGCGCCCGGGACGGAGGCCCCGGGGGTGGCGATCCGGCGGCGATCCGAAAGTGCCGCGCCGGCGCGCCGCTTCGGGGTGTCCCACCGGCCGAAAAAGATCCGATGGAATCCACGATGATTCGGGGTGGTTGGATGTGAAGGGAGCGAAGCTGCCAGGCTACAGACTCGCCTTGCTTCGTCGCCCCGTCGCACCAAGGCCCAGCAGAGGCGGGATGCTCAACTCCGCGGGAGTGAAACCCGGGATGCTTCTCTACACTTCTTCTTACCCTGCCTGCATGGTCCAAGATCATGTAGATTGGAATTGGAAGTCAACAAATGTAAGGGGTGGGTCAGAATCGACTTGTCCCCAAAATAGATCCCAACATATCCTGTTGGTGTTTCAGGGATTCATTGAGAGTCTGTGAAGCGGTTCTTTCGATTGTTTGCTATTTGAAGAATGAGTGAAGCATCTGCAGATGACTTGGCAATGACCCGGTTTTGGGGATCAGGGCGGGTCAGAACATTCGACCAATGACCTGAGTGGCGGTGTAAAGCAGACAGTGTATAGACCACTCCAAAGCAGATCTCATGTCAGGATGGTGGATCAGCCAGCAGAGGCAGGGCTCCGGGGCCATGGATGCTCGAAGGAGTGCAGGTCTTGGGGGTGCAGGTCAAGGAACCTGGACTTGGTACTGGATTTGTCCTCGCATCTCTGTGGCTATGGCTCGAAAGGAGAGGATCTTTTCCCCCCATGGCGTGCATGCCATGATGCGGATCCGCTGCTCGACGAAGCACAGAAGTGACGGCTTTTTGGCCGGCCCAAGCAAGGTGTTGGGTGTGTCATGCACATTGCAACAGTCTGTAGGCAAGTAATTATTTATATATATATTATATATATACATAGAATATAATATATACTATATATATATATATATATTGCCATTTCAAGAAAAGATAACATCATAGTCATGGTCATCATTGAGGCAACTTCATCATTAAGTCATCATCATCGTCATCATCACCAACCAAACTGGATGCCCCACAGCAATCACCGCTTCACCGTTTTGCTTGCGATCCCCCCCACAGTTTTCGTTTTCGAGGCACCCACGATTCGGCTATGTGAACCACTCAGCACTTGTGACCTGGGTTGACCGACTGACTCTGTGCGGGCGGAACGTTGATCTCTTTCAGATCAGGCTGGGCCTTCCTCGTTTTGGGCAGCCTGGCTCAACAACTCCCCCCTGGAGCAGGAGCGGGAGATGGAGACAGGAACTGTTGGGTCGGACACGAGCAGCATGCTGCGGATTCGGACGTGGATCACTCTCCATCGCCGTGTGGAGGAGACGCTCATCAACTGGTTCTGATTTGTTGGGTATGTAGTAGCGTCCTTGTTCCTGGTAGCGATGCCCTTTGCTCCTAGTAGCTTCTTGTTCCTAGTAGTAAGGCCAGGAGCCCCTATCCTTGCTCCTAGTAGCGTAGTAGCGATGCCAGGAGCTCCTAGTAGCGAACATTAATAGGCATGTTGGTGGATGTTTGTGGGTGCCTTTTGGGTTTGGTGATTGGCACCTAGTGGGCGCCTGATTGGTCTCAAGTTGACTCTCCCGAACGGGGGGCGTGCACTGGCTCCTTGCAGTGTGCGGGGAATGTCAGCATAGGCGCTGAGGCATGCTAGACCTTGTTGGCATGTTGATTGATGTGCGTGAGGAGTTGATTGACATGTTATACCGTAAGGAAGACCAGGCATCACTTTCCCACCCTGCGCGACCTTTGTCAAGTGGGGGTCGAGCTTATTGTGTTCACCGTCAGCTCCGGCTGGGTGAGAGTCTTAGGTACTCACTTGCAAAGCAAGGCTTCCGCAGAATCCCAGATCAATCCCATGGAAAACGAAACAAAACAGCATCATACAGCATATATATATATATTTCTTGTGATCCGCCGTGGTCGTCTACCTTCCACAACCACCGCTGAAATCACCCTGAAGTGACCCTCAAAAGTTCCGAAAAAGGCGCACCCATTGACCCACACACGTCTTTCGCGCCTCGCCCCCGTTCTCCCCCAACCTCATCCACTCCGCACGACGCCGCGGGACCGGTCGTGCCGTGGACCTGGTGAGGAGTGGCCGATGTGGCGCACACGCCGTGGTGGATCCTGGCCGGGGTCACTCCGGAGGGTCCCAGCGCCTCGGTCCACCCGCGTCGTGGTGTGAAACCGAAAGGCGCGGTGAGGCAACGGACCGTGCCAGGCGCTTTTCAAACGGTGGTCGGACAGGCACGGTGAGCCAGTTGGTGTGGGTAGTTTCATTCTTTTGGATCCAGGTAGGCGATTCACTTGATTTGGTGGTCGATGGGGAGTATATAATGCTTTCTTGGGCTTGTGCCACTTGCTCAATGAGAAGTTGTTCACCTGTGACCAAGCTGGATTGTTGGAGTCGAGCCCTTGCTACGTGTTGTACGAAAACTGCAATTTCTTTCTTGGTCAATGGAAGGAGGGTACGTGTTTTTGTACGGCTCAAATCTCAAGGCATTGACATGGGCACCTACAAGATGTCGAGCTTTTCCAAGAGCCAACAGGAGCGGGCCAGTTTCCTGAAGTCTCTCAAGGAGGCATTGAAAGAAGCGGACGCATGTGAGATTGGTATTGACATGCATTGACATACTTCGATACCATTTAGATTAGAGATGCTTCTGAACCGCAGAATGTTATGTTTTTGCTTGGCAGGAGCAGTTTGGGGTCAACGAGCGCCGTGGGCTTAGACTCACTTCAGTTGGGGTCTTGCAGCTGTGGGAATGGTCATCCTGCAGCAAAACTGTTCGATGAAAACAACAGACTCCTTGTCCTGCAGAGAGTCATTCATTGTCACACGTAGTTTTCCCGTGCCAGAAGAGTACCTTGGTGGGAAGCGGGGCTGCTTACATGCTTGCATTCAGGGTGAAAGCACCAGGGAGCTTCCATTTAAGGCACATGACCCCCGGTTCATTGGTTTAAACTGTCCGTGGGCTTTGAAAAGAAGAGCATGCTGCACCCATGCCGTCCTTCAAATAACTTTTGGTCAGTGACCCAACTCCGCAAAAGCTAGGGGACAACCAGGCTGTATTGTTTCTTGATCATCAAACTTTCAAGGGCAAACCTCCTACTTGTAAGTGGAACACATCGACTGTGCATCTCTCGATCCCTCACACAGCCTCCCACGCCGAATCCCACTCCGGAACCCAGGAATCTGGGATCCACATGATGCCTGATTGTTCCAAAACCATCCCAAAACCCAAGTTTGCAAAGTTGGATCACTGACTCTCCCCACATCCCAAGAAGCATTTAACCCCCAAAAACCCAGCCACTCCTTCACATCTTCCTTGCAACACTTCGGATCCCTCGACTCCCTCCCGCAAAAAACCTTAGGATCTGTCTCCACCGGGGTCTCTCTAGGAACAAGAAGCTACGAACGGGGCTCCAGGGCATCGCTCCTAGGAGCAAGGAGGCTACGAACGGGGCTCCTCTTACTAGGAACAAGGACGCTACAAGGACTCTCTCTCTCTCTCTCTGTCTCCACCGGCGCAGATGGGCAGATCGTCCACTGGAGTCGCTTCACGGCGGCCACTGCCTCCCTGGCGCCCTGCGCCGAGCCGGACGACCGGCAGCTGGGCCTCAACGAGGCGGAGACCATGCGACTCCTGGGGAAGGCGTTGACCATAGGCCGGGGTGGGAGGGAGGAGAGGTAGATAGATGGGCCGTGTCGGGGTAGATGAGATGGTCGTGCCGGGGGTTGGTAGGAGAGGCAGTTTGAGAAGTGATAGAGAATGCGGGAGATGTTGGTAGAGAGGAAAAAAGAACAAATGGGCGGAGCGAAGATAGAATAGGGATTGTGGAGCATTTTGGCGTTCCTAGGGCAGATGTTGATCGCCCAGAAGATCGTTTTCAATCCAAGAAAGGGATCAATCTTGACTAAGTTTTGGGCAAACTCAACTCTTGTTTTGCAAGGCTGGCAGCGAGTTCAGCTGGAAGACGCGCAGCTCCAAGATTGGATGTCCCAACGCTCCGAATGCCAACGGAGCTGTGACCTGACGAAAGGATTTCGCTGCCCCGCGTGTCGCGTAGCACGGCACAGCTTCTCCGGGCGCAGCACCGCAGCACCGCGGGAAGAGTTGGGACGAACTCCTGGGGTTTCGTTGGGAAATTCCGCTGAAGCTCCGGATTTGGGCCTTTCTGAGGTCTTCCAGGATGGGGGGAAAACTAGAAGAATGTGGATGCAGCTTGTCTCCAGCCCAGCCCAGGTATGGTGAAGGTGATTGGCTTCAGCCTCAAGACCCTCTGGGCCGTTGGAGAGTTCTCCAGCGCTTCTGGCCAAGGCGGGGGACCCTACCGAGAAGAGGAGAAGCAGATCAGCGGAGCTTGACGGTTCTTCCAAATGGACCTAGCAGCCTAGCAGAAATGCTGCTAGGGCTCGGCAAGACGACTCGACCTCTGACACTGAGCTATACAACAATCGGGCAGAGTCGAGCCGTCGAGGATTCATCTCATTTAGGTGTACTGAAAAGCAGTTCCTTTAGTTCCTCGTCACGTTCCTGCGCGGTTTGTCTAATTGGATTTGAATGGATTTGATGCATTCTTGCTACTGAGTTTGACAAATGTGCTGCTGGAGACCTACCCATTTGTTCAGGTCATCGAGTCATTGTGTATTGGATTGTATTGGTACGTCAAACATCAGTGGGAACCAACTGCTCACTTTTCCTGGTCCCTACGAAAGCGACATTTTGCCTGGAGTACTGCTTGCACAGCAGCGAAACATGCATGCCATGTTGGGCCCCTCCATGTTTCTAGCATTTCAAGGACTAGCTTTTGTCGGGGAATCCCATGCAGTAGGAGCTCAGTCCAGTCCTCCCCATCCTCAGTCGCACGTGGTGCGGACCCTCACGTGCTTCGAACGCGCCTGGGAGGCGCCTTCGCGAAAGCGCTGGGCGATGCCGTGCGGGCGTGCTATCCGGGCTTTCGGGCGCTGAACATTGCGCCTTGGACGACCCATCCACGCGTGGGAACTGGCGGGGACTGGCCCGGAAAGCGTCGGGGGGCGCCTGAAACTGTGGGTTGAACCTGTGGGCGTTTTTTGGGTGTTCATTTTCTGGGTGGTCAACTATGCCCCACTATGGCGAGCATGTTGCATCGTTGTGATTCTTTCTCCCGGATGTGTACTGGACATGGCACGAAGCAAAGAAGTCAACGGCATGACACATCAATGCTCTCTTTGATGGACAATTACAATGGGAGTAGATGGCGCAGATCTCAAGATGTCCTGAACAGATGGGCGTCCATGTACACCACCAAACTTGGGGGATTGCGCCATCTATTCTGAAACCACTGTCTGGAAACTACGTATTCTACTTTGTAGCAAGGTCCCGAGGTCTCACAACTATCCCTTTGTTTGTGCATCTCAGGATCACATCACACAGAAGGCAGGGATTGGCAGCAGGTTGCATGTTATGTACTGCTGATGCTCGGTCTTAGTCAGTCGCTGCGATTTCAGATGGTTTCAGAATTTAGTGGCTTGTTGTGCCAACTTTGCGCTCAGAAAGCTCCGCCTTTGATTTTCAACCCCACACTTGCTTCTGTACAGGTGGCGCTTTAT